AGGGGGGGGGGAGATGATGAGCACAGGTCGCAAAGGTCAGGAAGGCTTCACTAAAGATGAGGTAATCTCAATCTCCATTCTAAGGCATGTTTACAGTACAAGTAGCATTTGTCATGTTGACATTTTGGCATCTTAAACACAGTGGGACATGCAGATTATGGATGCTTATAGCTGAAGCTCACACAACATAATCATCCATGCATGAACTGCAGACGTCACACACTTGCACTTTACTTTAGATGGGTGGCTACTTAAATAACCTTTAATAAGGTTAAATACTTGAAGCACAAAGTCATGCTTTTGGCCCTGAATGCCAGGTAAGAGCAGTGTAGATTAGCTGATAAAATACTTGATTTCTCTGACTGGTGTTTCTTCACTTTTCGTGGATTTGCCTTTTTGGTCCCTCCTCAGAAAGCATCCTTAATGTTCTTCAGCTGCCGAACAGCCAGGTCCACCGGGAGGTTGAATTTGAGGTGGCTGATGCGTCCCAGGATCCGCAGCGCTCCTTCAAAGCCCGTCTGGGCCATGTAGCTCCAGCACTGGTAGTGCGGGTGTATCAGAGTCCCGGACTTACACAGCAGGTTGAGCCACGACACCAGCCGCTGCTCGTTCAGAGCCATGCACACCAGCGCTTTGAACTCTGTGTCTGGTCCCCGTTTGTAGCGTCCGTGCTCCTTCAGCACAGTGTGAATGGCCCACAACAGGGACTGTTTAGGGGTGACGGTCACCGGGCCGCCCCCTACAGGCAGGCTGAAGGACTGTGAAAGCTGGCGGGCCGGTGACTCCACAAAGGCCTTCCCGTTTTTGGAGTGGTAGTATTTAACAAAGAGTTCCCATGGGTGCATGGTCTGTGGGGCTGGTCTGTAAGGCAGCAGGCAGGAGATGGGTGCCAGCACCAGGCTCATGGTCTGGGAGGGGGAGAAGAGGCCGTGAGCCAACAGGTCTTTTAGAGCAAATGCCAGCTCCTTCCTCACAGTCGCCGTCAGCTCGTCTCGGGGTCCCAGCGCCGTGTTGCTGGTGTAGTTGACGACATGGTCGAGGGAGGGCTGTCTGCAAGAGCCCAGCACTCGCACCTTATCGACAGCTGCCTCCAGACGCTGCAGCAGGGGCCCGTAGTCCTGCCCTGTCGACTCCTGGGGCCATATGTTCTGAGGAATGTGTCCGGGTGCGCAGCCGAACTGGCTTGCGGCGAAGATCTGCAGCACGGCGAGGGCCTTCTGGATCAGCTGCAGGCCGGTCTCTCGCATCTTCTGGGCCTGCTCTGGGTCCACTGCAGTGAGAGGTGGAGGACCACAAGAATATACTTATATTGGACAGCAACCAGCAGTAAACTTGCCTTTTATAATGGGCTTATTAAGAGCTTACCAGTTAATACATCTTTAAAAACAAACATTTAGGTCATTTGTTGAACACTAAAGCCGGGCAGAGAGTGTACGGATCAATCCACATATTAACATTAAACTGGCGGGATGAATTCCTGCCATTCTGCAGTTTGAGTGGGGGAGTCATGACGCTGATAATCACGTTAACAGCTCTGATATTAATATTATTGCTGTAGTATGTTATGTGTTGTAGCTACTGACCTGTAGTCTTGACTAAGACAACTGTTACATAAAACGGAGCTTTGCTGCAGAACAGACACCATATTGTCCGCATCTTCCAGCCATCTGTGGTCTCATAATTTTCTTTTCTTTTTTCGTACTTTTCACAGTTGATACAATATATTGGCTTCATCTCTTTATGTAAATATTATTGAGGAAGCTGCAGGTAGAGTTTGATATGAACTGACTGACCTTTCTTCTTCACTCCTGGAGTTCTGGCATTGGTGCCTGCTGCTTGTGGCTGCTGGCTGTGTTCACCATCTCCTAAGAGAGGGTTCCCTACCTCATCTTTTGGAGGGAAATACAAAGTCATTCATTAAACCAATAAAACAATGACAACAAGCAATGAAACAGGACATTCTCATCCACCTGAATGCCAGTGTGTACTGTATATGAGACTGTGTACCCTGGATGAAGTTGATGAACATCTCCAGGTCTCTGATCTGGGTTTTGAGCTGATCCACGAGCTGCTCTTTGACCCTGGCTGGGTTCACTATCTGAGCAATGGCAGCGTCCACTCTTTGTCTCAGCTCCTCGGGTGACGCGTTCCCGATGTCCTCGTTCAGGTTCACATCCAACTTTTTGATCAACTCGTCAATGATGACCTGGAAAAGGAGAGCACAGACAAGGTTAAAAAATAGACTATGAATAGGTTTAACTCAATTTATTTGTGGTGGTAGATTTCTAGTGGTGGGAAGCTCCACTGTCTGACACTAAATAAATGGTTTACAGCACTACATTCACAATTCCAGACTGAAATATTTTAACTAACTATTGGATGAACAGCCATGACACTTTGTACAAACATTTGAGGTATAACATGATGTGTATTGAATGGATTTTCTTTTGTTATGATTGGGTTTCTTTGTAGTTTGACTAGCTTTCAAGGTTACACATACTTTATTGTTAAAAAGGCAGGAATTATAACTTTATTTCGGACTGCAGAAGTTATGTTATCGCGTTGTTTTCAACTGTGATATTTATTATTGACTAAACAAAAATTCAAAATAAAAAATGAATGCATAAATAAAAAGGCATGTTTTGGATGGGCCAAATGTATCCGGATAAGCTCTGCAAATAGATTATCTTTATGAGCAACACAACAATACACTAAAACTAAACCCTGAAGCATTTTAAGAACAGACGTTTGACTTGTTACACCTGATCTGAAACAGGTAAACATCACTTTAAGTTAAGTCAAGATCATTTGGATTTAGCTTAGATCATAGATTATATCTGTGAGCTTCTCATTTGGGATGTTGTAATTCTCTCTTTCTCTAATAAAAAAAGCGATTAATCAATAAGTACGGCGATTGTCGGCTGATCAGACAGTTTCAGATGGGAAACATTTCATTGCCACGTTCCCACCTTCTGCCTCTCCATGACGACAGACTGCGGCAGCGAGTCGTAGCTGCCCTCCTGATAGGCGAAGCGCTCCAGATCATCCAGCTGTGTCTTCAGTTGGAAAATGAGATCCTTCTGTTTCTCCCTCTGAGCCTCCAGGCGCTCCCTCTTCTCCCTCTCACTCTGACAGGAGAAACACACACACACACACAATGATTTTAATTCCTACAGACAGAGCGCGCTGAGTGACCACAGTACCGCACTGAACACTGTGTAGGAGATGTTGACCAATGGGAGATTTTTCCTACCAAAATCAACACAGTGTCCTTATTACTTGTGTCACAACATTCACACACAAAGTATACACAAACCAAACCCTCAAAAGAGACATCAGGTTTCATACTCACCAGATCCTCCTGCAAGTAAAGCATGCGACAAGGGAGAAATGACATGAAAGAAAAGACCTTTAGGATACACAATGAGCAATAATTGCAAACAATTATGACGTGAGGCCGAGGCTTTTGCTTCAGTTAAGACTAAATGCAAAGAGGCAGGGAGTAAACAACGGCAGGGACAAAGCAGGTTGCTTGAACGTCGTTGTGTACACAGAAACCTTTATTAAACAGATAGTGATCTGCTGGAGGCATTTTCATTGAGCCCGCAGCCCCGTGACTCACACACAAGTGGCAGAAAGCAACATTTTCCATCGGAGATAAGAAATCTCTGGGAACAAAACAGAGGTGGGCGCAGCAGTCTCCAGCGTGACGCAACAAGCACACTTTAATCCGTTTTAATAACCTCACAGCCACTGAGGGTTAACAGACTCACTGAGTGTGTGTTTGTCTATATTTATACCCATTCATTTATACCTGCATGTGGGTACGGAGTGTCCATCTAAGCGTCCAACTGCAGATTAGTGTATCAGTGTTAAGTAAGTGTGAGGATCTACGCGACTGACATGTTGACTAGACCTGCAACTAACCACTTTCACTGTTGATTTATCTGCTACTTTCTCAAATCATGGATTATTACTGGTTTAATAAAGTCAGAAATAGTGAAAAGTATATATCACAATTTTCTAAATCCCTAAATTACATTTACAAATTGCCTGTTTTGTCCAACTAAACAGACTGAAACCCAGAAACATTACAGTTAACTGTCACACAAAAAGAAGAAAAGCACCAAATCCACTTTGCACTTTTGCCTCAATAACAACTTTAAAGTTTATCGATTATCGGCTGCAGTTTATTTTTTTGGTCCATTGACAATTTGATTTAAAAACTAATTGTTTCAGCTCTAATGCTCACACACACACACACACACACCAGTTAATCTCCCACCTGTGGCCATAGATGGGAATAGAAAAGCAGTGTAATTACAGCCCAAATCTGCACTGTGATGTAATAGGGATGATTAAAACGAGAATAAAGGACTTTCCATTAACTTGATGCCATGGTGTCTAAAACACAAGGAAATGATCTTAAATGATATTTTCCTGTGACACATCACGGTGGTTGTGTTTTTTTTTTTTTTGTGGTATCACTTCACGACCAGAAACCTCACCGAGTTCTCCAGCTGTTTGGCGTCCTGAGCCCTGCAGCCCACCACATGCGGGCAGCCCCTGAAGGCGAACTCCTCCAGCTCGGCCAGCATCCTCTCCTTCTCCTCGCTCTGGGCGTGAACTATCTGCTTCAGTCGGAACTGCACCTGAGCGAAGTGCGAGGTGAGGGCGAGGAGAGAGGAGTTCAGCAGGTCCTGCTCCTCCTTCAGCTTCTCCAGCCTGACGGCCATTTCCTCCTCGGTGGCCGAGGACGAGCCCATCTGCCTCGGCTGCCCGGCGCTCCGGCTCTCATCCTCGGGACTTGCCACAGCGCCGACCGGTGCCCATCGCTCCCCCGCGCCGGCGAACACAGCCTCGCTGTCCGAGGCTGACAGCTCCTCTGTGGACATCGTGGACGACGGAGTTCAGTCCAGATGTTTACCTACGTCGCCAGTTTATTCACAGTGTGCTCCAGATGCTTTGTTTTTCTTGTGTTGCGCAGACAACAACAAGGATCAGCGCCGGAGAAACAGGTGTAACGCCATCTTGGGAAGGATGATTCATACGTCAAAGCACCTGGACGCAGCCAGGGAAGAGCCGGAAGTAGGGCACGTTTGTCTTCAGAATAAAAGCGTTGTTGTTACATTAAAGTGCGGGTTACAATGTAAACTCTTGTGTGGCCTGTTGTGCTTTCTGTGGTGGAAGTTGTCTGATTATCTACGTAAGTGAAAGTAGCAAAACCGCAATTTAAGTATACTCAATTACAAATAACATTCCTGCATTAAAAATGTAATTTAACTAAGAGTACAGAAATATCATCAGCAAAATCATAATACTCATACTAACCACTGTATAATATACTGTACATTCATTGAGAAAATGTACATTTCATCAAAACAATATTTCTATTTAAATTATGGAGGAGAATTTTTGTATAATAATGTAATAACTAGGGCATATCATTTTAGAAAAGTGCTTTGTGTCTTAAATAAACTCCCATGTTTCATTTTGATAAAAGAATATATTTAAAAGACTGTTTAGAGTTTGTAGAACTTAATAATAATAATTAAGCTACATACAGTTCCACTACATGAGTTACTGAATAGTGTGTGTAATTACAAACTACATATATAATAAATAACACAATAAAGTAATTTTTAAATGATCATAGGTCATAGGCAGCTAGAGTTGCACTAGTGAATTTCTTTAGTACAAATATTTATAGCTTAAAGTATTGTAATGTACATATTTTAATATGATCTCTCTCTATTATTAAATTTCTTAATTCATTTAAATGGTACTTGTTCTGTTTACTCACCTGTAAGCCTCCGTCTTGATTAAACAGTCCTTGCAGGATAGAGGATTTTTTTTTTTGCTTTTATTTTGAAGTGGATAATGGGAAGTTTTGATTTATATGTGTACTCAAATTTACACTACTCACAAAGGGGAGGCGCAATAAACTCAAATAATAATCCGAAACCACAAAAAAAAAAAAAAAACATGACGTGACGTGAAAAAGCCTCAAACTGTACGTCAGCCTAAAAACTGGAATTCCATCCCGGAAGTAAAGATGAGGAAAAACAGGCTTACATAATGTTTTCATAATTTACATAAAGGTTTAGTACAGACAAGAAGTATTAATCTTAAATTGGGCCTTTAATGAAGACATCTTCATGTCTTTAATTCACTTTACTATAAAACTCTGAATGATCCGACAAGTTGTGATGTTGTAACATTAAAACTTCTTTATTAGTTTGATGGAATATGAGATCTCTTTGACTCTGGGAGAGATTAAGCTGCACCAAGCACGTATATCTCCACGTCTGCCTCGTGGTGTTTGTTAAATTAACACAGGCGACGGTAAGATGCACACAATTACAAACAGTTTTGATTTTAAACCATCATTCCAGCAAAGTTGACAAATTAGTAAC